GGTCGACAGAATGAGACTATATATATATATATATATATATATATATAGTTTCTTATTTGTTAAAATAAGAATTTTTATGTCAAAATTTTTAATAAAAAATATAATTTTAAATCTTTATTTGTTGTCATAATTAAGAACTTTTTCATAATTTATATTTATTACAGTGTTTTGCCGAATAAAAAAAAAATACCCGAACTACCTTACTTATTTATTATTCTTTAATGCTACTTATTAGTTTGTTAAATTTTTAACAATTGAGATTACTACGAATATTATTTAAATTATCTCTCTATAGGTCATATAAAATAGAAGTATATTTTGAACTTGAACGGAATAATAATCTTCCTGTTACTAAGCTCTCTGCCGTCGCGGATTATGATTGGATGTCGTCAAAATCGGTATCGTTTCTACTGTTCAATATAAATCGTCACAGTGGAATTGAGTCAACTAAAGGAGGATTCAACTGGAGAAATTAATTTAGGGCAAATCGGTATTCGCTGTTTTGTTAATGGTCTGAAGTGTCTCGAAAAGTTAGTTTAAATGCTCTGTCTGTTATGAAAATTTTCTTCGCTCACTCTCTCTTTATGGGTCGATATTGATTATAGGAATCCTATTAAATGATAGTGGGATTGCATCTTCTCGAAAAGATGTTATATGGCGCGTTTCAGAAATTTTAGTTTAGATTTTTAAATGAACCAACATTGGTGAAGATTTCTGAGATAGTAGCAAATTGAAAATGGGAAGAGTGTATTTTAATGGGTTTCATTTTACTTTATTTATTATAGTTTAGCTCTTATCTTTGAATCGACTTAAGAAATTTGTCGTGAAACTGAATATTATTCTTTAATATTTATACTTAAAAATAGTGGGGCAGATTTAAAATTTTTAAATCGATGTAAACAGGACTGAAAGCAACAGGGGAAATGTTTCCCTGTGTCTCTTATCTGTGGTTAACTAAGAGCAAATGGGATACCCGCAAGTGGGTGTCTCGATCCTGATTGTTTGCTAAACGTGTCATTTGTTTACGTTATCTACTGTTCTTCCTATTCTATTTCGAGTAAGCCAAGCCTGTGAGGTATCAATTCTCTGAAGCTATACATTCTATTCTCTTTCTCAAAGATTCTTTTATAAGGATTTAAATTTTTCCTTTTATATTTCTTAACACATGCGCGAAGCCATGTCACACAAACTAATTCTGCATCGAAGTTGCCAGGTACACAAAACTGAAATATATCTCGGCTACAATAAAATGCATAAATAATAAATCTAAGTTAAGTAAAAGACGTAAAAGATGAAATATTATATTTTAACAAATTCGATGTGCGATCCGGCGTTGTATTTACTTAACTTCGCGTAATTAACGTTTTCAACTTATGTGGTGAGACTTGCTCCACTTTAACGCACTATCTTGTTTATTTGGTGATGAATTCATAGGTTACGTGTATGTGTATCCTTGATCGTTTTCTTCTCGAGTTGCAAGTATCAAATTTGTTCATTTGTAGAAAGTTTGTTTTATTTAGGTGTTTTCTTGTTTATGGAAAGTCGTTAAGTTTAACTCTACATAAATTTTCTTTTAGCTCTACATAATTTTATGTCTTTACGTGAAGCTATAAATGTAATATAACACATTGTTTGAATACTGTACATGAACTTATATTCTGCTTTTGGAGATTATTTTCATAACAATCTTGTAAAACCTATAGATATCGGTAAATTTTTTTAAGATTAAAACTATTTTCTTAATTTGAAACTCATTTTAATTATGAATGGAATTGTAAGGTACCCCTTTTCCGAGGAACCCTTCGGTTTCGCCGAGCGCCATTTGGGTACTGCTGCTGTGAGGATAAAGTTCATGTAAGAGTACTACATAGTGTATACTAATATTGCATTTGTCATTCATTGCTAGTTAATTTTGATCAATCTATATCAAAAGTAATCGACATTTTCAATGAAAGTACAATATTTCAGCATTTTATATTTTTACTTTAAAAAACTGTGCATAGCCTAACTATTCTAACTTTCTCAATTTTTTAAAAGTGTTATTATTAGACTAAAAAGACAACTTTTTAAGTCAGAAAAACAATTTCATTATTGCTTTTATCTTCCTTCGTACATTAAAAAAGAAAGAAAAAAAAAACTTTTAATGATTTTCTAATGAAGCTGCTCTAGATATGGGATTTAATTTAATATCGCAATCTTATTATGCCTTTCATTTTCGAAACTTTTTTTTTTAAAAAAAAAAAAAAAAAAAAAAAAGCTGTTATCTTTTATTTTTTGGAGTTTTTCAAAATTTACTTTTTGTTTGATAATTTTAAATTATTTTTTAGTTAGTTTTTTCATCTTTTGATGGCTTACAGTTTTTGATGAAGTAATTAGTTTTCGAACAAACTGTATAATACTTATTCTTAACTTTATAATTTAATACCAAACAAGCAAAATACTTGTTTGTATCTACTTTATTTTAAGATCTTTTTTAATTTTAATCAATACAGAATGTGATTGCAAATTTGTTTTTTAAAATTTGATTATTTTAAATTTCTGTTATGCAGTAGAATACACAGACATTTCTTAATGAAAAATACTTAAGAACGTTTGGTTTTCTGGTTATTTTTTTATGATTTCTTCTGTTTCACACTTAAGCACATAATATAAGATAATTAAATTAATATTTTTGTACGGTCTTATAGCTTTGTAGTATTATAAAAAAAATATTATTTTCAATGTTGAAAGTTACTAAGTTAATTTGCAACTATTTCTAATATTAAATAAGACAATAAAAAAAAGTTTTATTCTTTTGACTCCTAGATTCCTTAAAATAGAGCACTATCACCGCCCATGTATTTTGACTTATGTTTTGTTTTGAAAAATTCATAATTACACACTGAGTTAGTAATATTGTCGAACACTCAGGCCAATTTCTCCCCATTAAGCATCTTGAAGCTAGAAGTAAAACACGTTTAAATTCATCTGTACTATCAAAACCGAATAAAATCACATAATTGAGCCTATGATAGGGTCAAATAGTGATAACTTAATATGTAGAAGAAAAAAAAAAGTATTCCTTAATAAACATGCGGTACATGCCTTAAAAATGAAATTGGAAAAGAAAGCAATCTAATTTAGTTTCTATTCGGTCAAAAATAAGGAAGAAAGAAAGGGTAAAGATGAAAATTAAGAATATAACCTGCATCCTTTAGTGGTTGCTAATTCCCGTTTGATCGTAAAAATCTCGACTGAAATCACGATCACCTGCTGAACCTAAAAGAAGAACCGTTTTTTTAAACAAGATTATTGAATAGAGCAAAGAAAAATCGACATGCTACAGGATATTCTGGATATTCTCAGTGTATGTCCTAGGCTTAGTGCAAGAACAATCAACGTAAATGCTTTGGAGTACAGTGCGACTTTCAGGAGAACTCCTCCAGACATCAGTCTCGCATCGAAGCGGGTACCATGGTTACGAGGAAAAGTTTCTTCGAAGGAGCTCTGCTCAAAGCCGCACTGTATGTTGACTGCGAAGGGAATGCTTTTTAGAGTATGTTGACTGCGAAACAATCCACCTTTTATAAGGTAAAATAACTTCATTCAAAATATAAAGGATTTGGCAGAAAACTGTTTTTAGCTATATAACAAAACATAAAAATATTTTTAAAAATATTAAATGCTTAAAATAGTTATTATTTACTTCTAAACAAAAAAATAATTTTTTGTAAAAAACCTATTAGATTATTTCGGAGCCATTTTAAATTCCTATTAAAACTGTTCTTGCATTAAGCTTCGGATAATTTTTTAGAATCCTTTCAAAAATGAATCTTTCGAACTGTTAATAGTTTTTGCTGCCTATGTTTAAATAAATAAGAGAAAAATATTATTATCAATAATAAATCACGTACTACTGTAGACACTTAAAATGGGAGAAATAAAGAACAGACTTATTTAACAATGTTTTTCGAAGCTCTGTCACTAAGGAAAATAAGAAAGCCAAAGCTTAAGTGCCTTACACTTGAAGCAAAGTGATGGCTTTTAAACTATATGCATATTACCTTGCCGTGAAGAATTATATGAACTCTTTAGAACGGACAAATAACTTAATTATTACATTGGCCAATTTGGCAACATTTTCCCACCTAGATGAAAATTGTCTAAATCACTTTTGTAAATTTTTTTAAACCCGGATAGTCGGAATTAACAGTAAGTTTTTAACAAACGCTTTTCATTTTCTCAAAATTGTGGCCTTTCTCCATTTTGACTTTTTGCACCATTTTTAGAATAAGCATGGGCAGTGCTGGCATTAGACAGGCTGAACTTATTCTAACAATCATGAGTAGCTATGGCAAACTCTCATCAGTTATGAAAATTTGTTATTATTTGGGAGAAGAAAAAAAGCCTTTCATATGACAATGGAGCATTCGAAAAACAGTCTTAATTAGTAAGATTGAAGCAAAGCCCGTCTCTGCTCGTTAAAATAATAATTAGAAATGGAGAAGGATTGAGTGTAAGAGTTCCATCATTAACTGACAGCACCGTTCGCTCTACTCACAGATTTTTCTTTATTTATGTTATTCAAAGAAGTATCCATTGGATTGAAAATTTTTTGAACGAGATTTGTCTTATAGTTAGAAATCAAGTAATTTGACTTCAATTAGTTTGACGTACGGATTCATTATTTTTAATGCTGGTTAACTTTGATATTTGAAAGTTCACCCAGATTTTTGTGTTAAGTATTTGTTCGTAGAATTTCATGTATTTAAATCTACGAGTATTAAAATAAATATAAATTAAGGACAGTGTTCCAAGAACATTTTGCAACTTTATAAATGATTATTATATTAGAGTTGCAAAGAGAAGTAAATTTATTACAATATCGGATCGATAAAAATATTTCTTTTTTCGATTCACAACAAGAATTGGCTGTCGTTTTTCCCATCTGATAATCGTTTTACTTTTGCTTCTGCAAACATTTTGGTATAAGGTGTCAAGAGGTGCCGGGAATTTTTCCGACCTTATACATTTCGTTTCATTGATTTCTGATGTTTTTTCCTTCTCTTTGGGGGCCCAAGACAGTTCCGAAATTGGCGCCTGAGGATTTTGGGAGATATATTCGAGAAAACGAAGGGCACGGAAAAAGAAATATGATTTGAAATTTTATTCCCTTCATCGTTTAACTGAATGAAGTGAAGTTTGCCCCTTGGCGATTGGAAAGAGTATTTGACTTCAATCACCCATGCTAATAATCAACAAAAATGCGAGTTACTTTTTCCTTTAGATCATTTTCCTTCTTTTGAAATAGGAAAGAGAATTATGTGACAGCAACAATCGAACAACCATGAAACTTCCTCCTCCCCAAAGTTGATTAATTTTATTTCTCAGAAAATACTCCCCCAAGTCATTTCCCCTCCTCCTTCCAACCTCGCCTCACGTGAATTATTTTCACATTTAAAGAAAAAAGCTGCTTTTCTTGGTGGTATTTGCTAAAGCGTTAGAAATAAATAATTGTACCACTTATTTATTACATAATTCCTAAGAAGTTATGCTCACTTTTTGATATGTATTCTTTTTTTTTTTAATTTGAAAGGTTTTTTTTTATTAAAAAATAAATGTTTTCATTTCTTAAACTCTATCTCATTTAGTTTAATTGCACTCTTAGCATGGACAGAAGTATTTACTGATTTAACTGTTTAAGAGAAATTTCAGTGGTTTTTATTAATTTATATTCTGTACTGATTATCTTTATAACTAAGTGGTGGTATGTGCTTTTGCTAATCATCGCAAATTGAGATAGACGGTGAAACCTCCTGTAGCGACCTCTTCTATTTACGACCTCTTCTATTTCTATTTGTGAGTGGTTCTCATGTAGAGAGCTCTTTTTGACGATCTATGAAAGAGAAAGAGGCAACCTCATATTGCTGTCATAGTGCGCCAAAGACGCAGCTATCGATGATTTATTTTTAGAGTTGAAAGTTAAATCAGAAAAAAACTATGCAAACAAACCTCTTCTCAATTTTTGAAGCTAACTAATTTTTATGATGTCAAATTAAATGCAAACTTCAACAAAAAAACATAATTGTTTATTTATTTCAAATTGTTCTATCATTCTTTTTATACATACTTCGGCTAAGTTTTATTCATAAAACCAACACAAGTAATACTTCGGCACCAGGAAAATGACACTGAGTAAAATTAAAATTGCTTGCGAAAAATTATGTACCTTCAACTTCAATAACATTTTGAATATATATATAATTTTTTTTTTTTGCGATATCGACACATATAAAGAATAATTTTTATCTTAAGATAATTATTCTTTATTCAGAAATATCGCATTAATTTATACCAATAGATGTGTCTTGACAACGACTGTTGGTTTTCCCATTTTTAGTTTCTCTTTATATTAATTTTTATTTTATTATTTGTATGCATATATATATACATATATAATAAAAATCAACTCTATTTTNTTCAATTTAAGAACTGTTCCTTCACTTGGTTATCTTACTACTTATTATTTAAACCACCAAAAGCTTAAAACAATATTATGTAAGTTATCTAAATTTTTTTTACATAATTTGCATTTAATGACAAATATGTCGACATGCATTTAATAACAAATACGTAATTTAGCTATATATATATATATATATTGTATTATTGTTGTTTCCTTCTTTGAACCTAAATTATATAGCGTGTATTTTGCTTGTACAGACAGTATAATCTATTTTGGTTTTAAATTATAATTTGTCCATCTTATTTGTATAGAACGCTCCTGTGCACATTAAATAAACTGCACTTTTAATCTTAGTGTAAATATTGTTATTTGCGTTAATCATCTTTGCCGAGAGTAAATCATCCGCACCATTCAAAGTTTCGTGCTCCAGGTTCTGAATGTATTATACGCCCTTTTAGCTACATCTTCTCATCGCTTTATCTGTATCTCCGAAACAAAAAGAAAATTCAGTTTTGGAGTGGGGGGATGTTGTGAGGAGGAGGCTGTGTATTGTAAAAGTGAAGTCGTCGCAGCGAAGTGGGAATAATAAAGCTTAACGGAGAAAAGGGGAGGACTAGATAGCGGGATCGATGTTTGGAAGGGGCCACTACCCGGGCGTGGGAAGGTACTGACTGTACTTCGGTTTACCGTGCGCCCCGGCACCCGTTGCCCCATCTCTGCTTCCGTTTACTGGCGGGAAATGCAATGTGCGTGAAAGCCCCGTTGCGTGAGGTTTTCCCTTAAGAAAGCGATGCCTCTTCAGCGAGAGGAGTCTACTTAAATTCCAGAAATGCTTGAACTTTGGTTCCCGCACAAGTTTTCCAACTTCAGTTTGTCATAGCTTTGATTTATAATCCTTGGCTTTTCTACTAGGATAAAGCACTGATATTTTAGTGGACTTTTAACTAGATTTTTAAACTCCTTCCAAATGAATGAAATTATTTACCCCGTTTTCTTAGTAAAATTCTTTTTTTGTTGAAACATTACAATTATGCAAAGTTACAATTTCTGAACAATTTTATTTTATAGTATAGGTTTATTCCACGCGTGATTTAATCTGAAAAATAGTAAAATTTGTATTCTGAAAAAAAAAGTTATATATCAGAGGTTGAATAAATATTGTAAGACAGAGAGAAAAAAAAAGACTTTCGGCACATTTGGTAAAAAAACAAAAATATTATATTTACAAAAAACAAAACATTTCGTTAATATTTTCTCAAAATGTTACTTCGCAATTATTACAATCTATATCAGTGAGCCGTACCGGTTAGTGGATCAAATGGTACCGGGCCGCCCATTTCATTGAGACTGAATTTAAATTCTTAGGTTTATACCCCAAATTAAAAATATCTGTGTTCCATTAAAATTTTAGTTATTTACAAAAAGGGGCCCCCGAAGGTAGTGACATAAATTTTTTAATGTTTTAAAAAGAAAAAAAGAAAACCGCCGCAGCTATTTTCTCTTTCAATTAGTTTTAATTAAAAAATCAATTATCATGACTGTAAATATCATAAATAAAAAACGAAGGCGCTGCGCGAAATTTGCATTGAAATAAACTGGACATAAGCAACACACTTCTGGTGTCATTGTCTCCGATTACCCCTGATGGAACTGTCTCATTGCAAAGAAACAAGCTCAGGGTTCTCATTAATTTAACGTTCTAGTAAGTTAAAATGTTAAATCCCTTTACATTTATTTTTTGGTGAAACTGTATAAAATTTTGAAGGCATGTTTAAATACAGTTAAATTTCTAAAAATAATCTAAACCAAAATA